TTTTCAGGTTTTCATCCTAGCCTCTCTTTTTTTTACTCACTCATTTGTAGCCACTTTTGCTTAGATTGCCCAAATTTTTGGGTTTTCAACCCAACTAACATTTTTTTATTTTCTTTTTTTTTCTTTTTTTTAAGAAAATAATGCAAGTTACAAGGTTTAAAAGTTAGGTACGTACCAATGAGTGACTCCCCCTCACTTAGCTTGAAACATTGCCCCTAGTGCTCGTCTTCGTCATAACCGGGCTGACCGCCACCGTAGCCACTGTCTCTCCCAAAATTACCCCATTGAGAGGGGTCGTACCATGAAGGGTGCTGAAGTGGGGGAGGCATAGAGGAGAAGTGTCCCTGCTGAGAATGATAAGCATAGATGGGGGCTATTGCCCTTTTGTTGTCCTCCTCGATGCGGTTTTCAAATCCCTGAGTCCTTCTAACATAGCACGTTGGTTTTCAAGCACTTGTGTTTGATACGGATCATATTTGTGGGTGGGGGTGGTTGTGGTTGTGCTTCTTCTTCATCTTCCCGGCCTTGGTTTGTCGGGGCGGCAAAGTGGGGTGGGATGGCCGGTGCTAGGCAAAAGTGTCCCCCGTCTCCTGGGGTAAGAGCTGAATGTGATGAGTGGTAGATCATCTGATGGGATAGTAAAATATCGTTCTGGTTTGGGATAAATGGTCTAGTCATAGTAATTCTTTCCATTGTAATCTTTATGCGCAAATTTGATGTCTTTTGCGGTCAGTAAGAAACCAATGTCAAGCAAACAATCTTCGTGGGTTGGTAAATTATCCTCATAGCCAAACATGGAGACAATAAGCATGATAATACCCCCAACCACGATATCACCCGAAGCAGTTATCATTTTAATTAAATGAGCCCAAATAAAAGACGCAACATCCAGCCGTGGAGACCCAGGAAAAATAGCCATCGTAAGTAAACCAACATCCGCTGTCCTAGCTTGATGGTTATTTGGGCGCCCGAAAACACAGTTGCCCAAAATTTTTAGGAATATGCGTAAAACAGGATGTTGCACACAAGTGACAGTAAATTTTGAGGAACTAGTTGCTATTTCTCCTATCATTCTTTTCCAAAGCTCATGCCCAAGAGAGGCATCAATGTATGTCTCCTCCTCCTCGTCTTCTATCACGGGTAACCCAAAATGCTCGGCAAACTGACGTTTAGTTATAGATTTTTCTTCGTTGAACAAATGGAACGTGAGTTTGTCATCATTTGAATCACTTCCATCAACAAAATGCTCCACCGAGCCCATGAATTCATAAATTATTTGTTCATTTGAATTGCACTTCATCTCAAACAATTTACTCATACCCAAAATTTCACACATCTCAAGTAGCATGTAGTAAATACCTAAAGCACGTAATGTCTCAAGGCAAAAGAATCGAGACGGGTGTACCTTTCTTTGAGTTTGGGCTACAATCTTGGCCCGGTGAGAGTTGGATGTGAAAATGAGCTCTTCAAACCCGGGGACCGGAGGTGGTGGTGTTCTTGATGAAGAGGCAGCTGTCCTTGTGCGCTTTGGGGCCATTTTTTGCTTCTTAAAACTCAGAAAAATTCGGACTTGGGGTAGGGGTAGGGTTTTCGTTTTTTCCAAATTGGATAGAAAATGGGATTTTATGGGTATGGGTGTGTAGAAGAGGTTGAGGAGATGAAGATTATGGTGTTATTTGGTTGATTTGGTGGAGATATGGGGTAGATTTGAAGCTTTGGGGGTATGGCAATGGAGGTTTTTTAGAGGTTGGTGCGATTTTGGGGGAGAAAGAATAAGGTTGGAGGCTACCCGATCGGATTTTGTCTACTGAATTTCCGATTACCCGGTCAGGTAAAGTGTTATACCCGATCAGGTATGTTGGGATCTATCATCCCGACCTATTACTGTTCAGGAGCCCACGACTTTACGTAGTACGAAGCCCAATCAGTAAGGCCCATTTTAGCCTATCAGGCCTGTTTCGGCCTATGGGCCCATTTCGGTCCATTCGGCCCACCTAGGCCCAAGAGGCCCGTTTCGGCCCACTCGGCCCGTTAGGGTGGAGCACCCCTCCCCCTTTCCGCTATAAATAGGAGGATTCCCCTCCTTCTTAAGGATCTCTTTTTTGGATCCCTCTTTCTTCCCCCTACTCCCTATCTAGCTTTATACTCCATGAATGGAGCTTCAATATTGTATTATGTAATGGGGATGAGAGTATTAATAAGAGGAGAGGGCTTGGACATTAGCCGAAACAGTCCCGTGGTTTTCTCCCTTTCCGGGTTTCCACGTAAAAATCATTGTTTATATTTTATTATCACCCCATAACCATGAAACCCTCCCTGAAGGGGTGTTGAACTTCCGGGCTGCGGTGAATTAACCTCAACACTGGCGCCGTCTGTGGTAAACAGTTCAAAAAGATTCATGTATTCTACTGTTCTTGAGCTAGAACAACAACAAAAAAAAATTTGATACAAAGTGGACTGTTTTCAAGAAAATGAAGAAGACATATGCAAGGATTTGGAAGATTCCAGATGGGGAAATAGCAAAATCTCATGAATAATGGTGATAGAGGTTCGCCGGTGGTTGGCGCCGAACGGGACCACCGACGCAGTCGCATGAGAACCGCCGCTGCTGCCATAGCAGGTCCAGCCACCTCCACGAAGCTCATAACCAGGATCACATCACGAACCCAGATCCATGCCTAACAGCTGTCTTTTGCTGTGACCTGACAAGGCTGGTGGCTGATTGGATAGGTGGGGCCACCTGTTGACTAAGTGAATCCTGGGTACCTTGCGTGGCCTTTTCTACCGAACGGAAGAGTGATATTTAAACTATGAAGCGGCAAATGTTTGCCGAGCTGGAGTGATTGACCAGCAGCAAAACAATATAGCTCCATCCAGACTCAAAGTTAGAATATATCGAAGGCTATCCCGTGCGGCAAAACCCATCCTTGCTTGTCGGTAGTGCTACTAGTTTGGTTAAAACACAGCTAGCAGCAGTGGGAAATCTCCCTGGGCATGTCCCCGTTCGGCTCCCAACCAGATCAGGCCGCTCCATAAGCCAGAGGCCGCTCGTCCAGGGACCAGCCGCCACGGACGTCCTTGGAGTGCTACCCGGCCGACCGAACGGACCTTACTACACCAGCACCAAGAACCGAGGGCCGAATATTCGGCTATCCATGTAGAATTACAATTATTTACATTCCAATCTGAAGTGGGGCAGGAGTTTCCCAAGGATGGACATTACCCACACGTATCTTCAAAGAACAAATAACCCAAGGTTACCTGTAAGGACCTCATCTCCTGGGGCAGTCACCACTCCCAGAGGCCGCACGGGTGGGGATTCCTCGAACGAGATTTGGCAGTTCATTTTTGCCACTGGACGCTCAGAACCAACCCACTGCTCGGCACAGCGCGAGCAGAACATGCCCAGAGCAACGAGGCCTCCATCCGGACTGGAATCCCTCCCGGTTGATGGTCAAACCAGTTCACCGGACGACTGATCCTCTGGATTACTAATCGCTACTCGACAGTCGCGTAGGGGACGAATAGTGTTTGGCCCAGCAGTAGGGCCTTGGAAACAAATGGCGCCGCCCGGCGAGGTGGCAACCAAGATGATGAGGACTCGCCCAGAGGGGTGCTACTACCCACTCGGCCGTCAAACACTTCACATATTCGCCGCCCAGTAGCCCCTGAGGGCTGAGGCCCAAATTCAGTGCACCAGAACAACCCAGGACGTTCAGGGGTACTTATGCTCTTCTGCACAGTGGGAGACCGGCTCTATACTCGGAGAAGACCTCACTACGTCCGGCGCGGGTGGAAGGTTCTACTCAAACCTCTGCAGATCGGCCAGACCTTCACCGCTCGGCCTCGATATGAGGGCCGCTCGGCCTTTCGGAGTCTCAGCCCTTGGTTAGCTTGGGACCCCTTGAAGGCTAGCTAGCCGCTCGGCCGCTCCTCCCCGCTTGGCTTTAGATCCGTGGGATGGCCGCCCGGCCTATCCAACGTCGTCCGGTTTTAAACACGCCCCATGGTACAACTCGGACACCTTGTGGGCTGGCCATCCGGCTTACAAAGCCCTGCTTAATGCTCAACGCCGTCCGGATTAGTGGCCGACCGACGAAGCTACCAACCGTTCCCCTTAAACGCCACCCGGTGGTCAGCACCGTTCGTCCCCAAAACAACTCAGGCCCCTGGTGGACTGACCACCCTGAATTCGTAGTATGCCGCTCAGAGTTGATGAAGGCTAGCAAAAAAGACTCTGTGCGAGGCTGAGCTTCTTAATCAACCGAACAGGTGTCGCAGGAAAATACCTAACGTTACATCGAGCCGCCCGTCTCATAAACGTCATTGTGCTTCCTCCGTTCGGTCCCTAGACTAGCCCTTGCCCGCACGCCCGCAAAGGCCGGCTGAACGCTGGGACTCGCTGCCGCTCGGACCAGACCCACATCAGCAACTGCGGGCCTTCGCCAAACCGCTCACAGCTCGCCGCTCGGTCTATGTCCGGCGGCCGCTCGGTTTTTTGATAAATGATTTGTGGCAGGACATTATCCAAGTGTCGCAGGTGAGGAGAATTTCCTCTCGATGCTTCTAAATTGGAAATTCAAGCGTATAGAGGAACTTGGGCCGGATCTTTTTGCTCTAAGCGGGTCAGATCAGTTTGAAAGGTTTTGGGCACGTACGATATCAATTGAGGTGGCAGGTATTTGGAAGCATGTGGAGGAATTTGACCAAAGTCAAAGTGGTGGGAAAATCCAATCTAATTTCAGGGAAATCTTAACCAGTCCGTCCTCCGTTTAAAAAGCTAAGTACCCAGTTTCTCACTGGCAATTAAATGCAAGTAGCATTGTTGTTATTATCTTGTATCACCAGTATTTACTTAATAGGAATTAAAATATCTCGAAATTAAATAATGACGAACGAAGTTCATGTGATAAAATTCACCGTCATTTTAATGACTAGGTGATGAGCCGGGCCGAGGGTCACAATAACCCATAGGCCAGCAATTGCGAGCGTTGGAAAAAGAATAAAGCCACGTAGATAGCCATATGTGTATATATATTGTCGGGCCGAACGGCCCATTACCATGTTAGTTATGCAGCCAAGGTTGCTCAATGCGCCCGAGCAGAAAATTAAAAGACATTCGGCATGGGTTCAGAAGACGTTCCAAACTGGCTAAAGAAAGGGGCCGCGAGACGTTCGTACTTCCCCAAGAGGCCGAGGGCCAGGAGGAGACCGTCGCGGGCAATAACCGTGAGACGAACATCTCCACACCAGGAGCTGATTGCCCAGAGGAGACCATCGCGACCGAGGGCTGTGAGACCATCCTTTACATCACGACCGACCTCACGGAACGACGTGTTTACACCTTGAAGACCTGTATCATCCCTGCGCCGCGCGGACGAGAGCTGTTGCATGGAAACACTTGATCGGCCCCTCCTGACCGACACACGTATATCACGAACGGCCTCTCGGCTCGGCATACATAATCATATTCAAAGACCCCTAAAAAAAAGCAAAAAAAAAAAATCAGAGGGGCACTGGGGAATCCCCAAAGGGGATAAACCCGTTCCTCATCACAATCGCGGCCGAGCCCAGCTCAGGATCCAAAGGACCGGGCCAAATGGACAGGTAAGTGAACGGATGAAGGAACAAAGATTCCATCCAGCTCAGAAATCGGCCCCCAGCGCCGACATCATTTCATGGCCACCGACCCCCTGGTACAGTGCCATCATCATAGTTGAAGGGCGGCCTCGTCCCCGCTCCTCGCGGATGAGGACCGTTGATTATTTCATATCGGCCCCAGCGCCGACATCATTTCATGGCCACCGACCCCCTGGTACGGTGCCATCATCATATTCGAAGACCGGCCTCGTCCCCGCTCCTCGCGGATGAGGACCGTTGATTATTTCATATCGGCTCTAGGGGTGGACTCGGGCCGGGCCAACCGGCCCGCCACTGTGCGGGCCCGGACCGGCCCGGTGAACCGGTTGGTTGGCCAGTTCGGGCCACCCGGCCCGGTGGATTCTCGGTTCGAGCTCGGGCCCTTCAAAAGGTGAACCGGCCCGGCCGGTTCGGGCCCGGGCCGGGCCAATTTTAATTTTTTTTTGAATTTTTTTTGAGTTTTTGGGTTGGGCTGGGTATTTTGGGCCATTTGAGGTGGTTAGGGTTGGTTTGGGGGTGAGGGGGAGGGGTGGGGGTTAACTAGGAAAAGCCCCAAAAAAAAAAATACCCGAGGCCCGGCCCGGCCCGGACCCGGGGGTTACCCGGGTCGGTTCCGGGCCTCCCCTTCTTGAACCGAGGCCCGGCCGGGCCCAGGCCCGAACCGGAACCGGTCCACCCCTAATCGGCCCCAACGCTGACATCACTTCATGGCCACCGACCCCCTGGTACGGTGCCATCATCATATTCGAAGGGTGGTATCGTCCCCGCTCCTCGCGGATGAGGACCGTTGATTTATTCTTTCAGATCGGCCCCAGCGCCGACATCATTTCATGGCCACTGACCCCCTGGTACGGTGCCATCATCATAGTTGAAGGGCAGCCTCGTCCCCGCTCCTCGCGGATGAGGACCGTTGATTATTTCATATCGGTCCTAGCGCCGACATCATTTCATGGCCACCGACCCCCTGGTACAGTGCCATCATCATATTCGAAGACCGGCCTTGTCTTCGCTCCTCGCGGATGAGGACCGTTGATTATTTCAAATCGGCCCCCAGCGCCGACATCATTACATGGCCACCGACCCCTGGTACGATGCCATCATCATATTAGAAGACCGGCCTTGTCCCTGCTCCTCGCGGATGAGGACCGTTGATTTATTCTTTCAAAACGGCTCCGAGCGCCGACATCATTCATGGCCACCGACCCCCTGGTACGGTGCCATCATCATATTTGAAGACCGGCCTTATCCTCGCTCCTCGCGGATAAGGACCGTTGAATTATTCTTTCAGATCGGCTCCCAGCACCGACATCATTACATGGCCACCGACCCCTGATACGGTGCCATCCTCATAGTTGAGGACCGGCCTCATCCCCGCTCCTCGCGGATGGGGACCGTTGATTTTTTCTTTCAGATCGGCTCCTACCGCTGACACCTTTATTTTGCCACCGACCCCCTAATACGGTGCCATCATCATATTCAAAGAAGGGTCAGATAAAAAAATCCAGAGAAGGACCAGATAAAAGAATCCCGAGAAGGATCAAACAAAAGAAGAAAGAGAGAAATCCCCAAAGAAAGGGGAAAGGCCGTTCCTTCACTGACTACGTTGGCTACGTTTGGCCTAAGATCCGAAGGATCGGGTTAAACGAGCAGGTACGACGAGGAGCGAGTGATGGAACGGAGAGATAAAAGAATCCAAAGAAGGATCAGATAAAAGAATCCAGAGAAGGATCATATAAAAGAATCCAGAGAAAGATCAGATAAAAGAATCCAAAGAAGGAACAGATAAAAGAATCCAGAGAAGGATTAGATAAAAGAATCCAGAGAAGGATGATATAAAAGAATCCAAAGAAGGACCATATAAAAGAATGCAGAGAAGGAGCAGATAAAAGAATCCAGAGAAGGATCAGATAAAGGAATCGAAAGAAGTATCAGATAAAAGAATCCAGAGAGGGATCAAATAAAAGAATCCAGGGAAGGATCACACAAGGAGAGAAGGTCGTTCCACACCGACTACGTTGGCTATGTTCGGCTCAGGATCCAAAGGATCGGGCTAAACGAGCAGGTACGACGAGGAGCAGGTGACGGAACGAAGAGATAAATGAATCCAAAGAAGGATCAAATAAAAGAATCTAGAGAAGAATCACACAAAGAAGAAAAGAAACCCCCCAAAAAGGGATCAAAACCGTTCCACGCAAAGTACGAGGTTGTGGCTCAGCTCAGGATCCAAAGGACCGGGCTAAAGGGCAAATACGAAGAGCAGATGAGGACCACTATTTTATGTTGTACGATCGGCCCATCAGCGCCATCGTGTCCAGTTCACGGTCGGCTCACCCATTCCTTCCAGGATGGGGACCACCGTCTTATGCAGTACGTTTCTCGGGAAAATACCCGGTCGGGTATAGCCACTTACCCGATCGGGTATTAGTTTTTATTTTATTTTATTTTATTTTTCATTTTTTTTGTTCCGGTCGGGTGGGTGTGTTTACCCAGTCGGATTTCTTCTTCAGTTGCCCTTCTGTGTATTTACCCGACCGGATATATTGAACATCCCTTGTTTCATTTTCAAAGGCCAAGTTTGGCCTAATTTCAACTTTCTTCCTCGGCCTTTTCTCGTAAGGCCAAATTTTCTTCCTTGTTACCACCTCAATAGTAGGTGGTTTTACCTCGCGCTGAGGTGACTTTTTCGGTTCTTCTCCTTTCAAAATGGATTTTTTTGGCTCAATTTCTAATTCTCTAAAAATTGAGAATTTTTTAGTTTCCTCTTCAACAAAAATATTTAGTGTTGGTGGTTCAAAAACATTTAAAGAACAAAGAGATCGATCTTTAATTTGTTTTTTGGTGGAATCAAAGATGTTGAATTCTACTTTTTGGTCATCAAATTCTATTGTTAATGAACCACTAGACACATCAATTTTTGTTTTGGCGGATTTCAAGAAAGGTCTACCTAAAAGGATGGGAGTTGTTTGATCAGCATCGCCCATCTCAAGGATGTAGAAGTCAACAGGAAAAACCAGGTTTTCAACTTTTACGAGTACGTCCTCTATAACGCCTTTTGGGTATGTGCTAGACCCATCCGCCAATTGGATTACTACCCCAGTTTTATGCATTGGGCCAAGGTTTAAGGACTTGTATAATGAATATGGAATACCATTGATTGAAGCCCCTAAATCCAACAAGGCCCTAGGAAATAAAGTGTCCCCTATTGTGCATGGGATAGTGAACATGCCTGGATCGCTACATTTCTCGGGAAGTTTCTTTTGGAATATCGCCGAGACACGTTCACTAACCTCCACCTTTTGTTTTCCCTTCAATTTGCTTTTCCTTTTCATTGTGCATAATTCTTTAAAAAATTTAGCAAAACGGGGAACACTTTTAATTAAGTTAAGGAGCGGAATGTTTACCTCACATTTGGTGAAAGTCTCATACATGTCACCATCTTTCTCCAGCTTCCTTGTTTCCTTCAGTGCTTCGGGGAATGGGGGTGGTGGTTCATATGAGGACAATGGTGGAAATTTAGCTTTTGTTGGCTCCTCCTCGTTGTGGCCAACCTCATCTTTGTCAACCTTGTCTTCTTCAACTTCCTTTGCTTGTAACTCCTTACCGCTCCTCAACATGATTGCATTGACATGTTGTCTTGGGTTTTGCTCCGTTTGAGAAGGGAGTCTACCCGAATCTTTTGCCTCGAGCCGACTTACAACACTCGAAATTTGGCTCATTTGGTTCTCCAAATTTTGGATGCTAGATTTAGTCGTTTCTTGAAATTGGGCCACACTTTGTTGTATCGTTGATACACTCATGGTAAGTGCTCGAATCATGTCTTCAGTGGACATATTTGAGCTTGAAGTTTGGCCTTGGGGAGGTTGTTGTTGAGGATTCTCGTATCTCAAGTTGGGATGATCTCTCCACCCGGGGTTGTAAGTGTTAGAGTGTCGATCGTACCTCTTTTGTTGATGGCCTTGGAAATTCAAGGCGTTGACTTGTTCTTCGTGTAATGAAGGGCATGAATCGGTAGAATGCCCTTGTGTTGCACAAATGCCACATACCTTGACTTCTTGGTTTTTGGGTTTTAACAGAAAATCTTTTACCAAAGAAGTCAAGCTGGCTACTTGACTCTCCAATGATGGAGTGGACTCCGCTGCGGCAACCCTTCGCGTTGAGGACCGCCCATTGTAATATCTAGAATTCTCGGCCAACTCCGAGATAAGATTCATAGCTTGAGAAGGCGTTTTGTTGACGATCCCCCCTCCACATGCGGCGTTGATCATCCGCCTATCATCATTGCAAAGACCATCATAGAAGTATAGGATGAGATCTTGCTCCGAATAGCCGTGGTATGGACAGCTCGCACAAAGTTTCTTGAATCGTTCCCAATATTCGTAGAACGGTTCATCATCTTTCTGCTCCACATTGCTGATTTGCTTTCGTGGCCGCCCATGTACCTATACTTCCCGAAGGAAGATAGAATAGCCAATCTTTTGCGGTATCCTTGAGGGAGACTGGAAAGGCCCTCAACTTGATCTGCTCCTCAGTGACTCCATTTGGGCACATGCTTGTGCAAACAATATGGAATTTCGAGAGATGTTTGTTCGGGTCCTCGCCTCGTAGACCATGGAATGAAGGAAGTAAATGGATGAGCCCCGATTTGAGCTCAAATGTAGCACCTTCATCAAGAGTAGGGAAGGTGATACATAGCGGTTGTTGGTTAAGATTCGGAGCCGTGAGCTCCCTCAATGTTCTTGTTTCAAGGGCCATAGTGATTGGCTCTTCGGTATCGCTAGAATGAGAACTAGCACTCGATGATTCCCCCGAGTCGGAGCTTGAGAATTTATTTTTCAACCGCTCGAGAGTTTGTTCTATTTCGGGGTTTTATTGGTAGGTGATTTCGTTCAGTGAACGATATTTAACCATATACTACAAAGCTCAGAAGAAATAGGAATCTTTATACTTGAATAATATTTATTTTTTATTTTTCTTGAAATAAAAAGAAAAATTAATTGCCTTTCCCCGGCAACGGCGCCAAATTTGACGAGCACTTTGTCGTGTCGCGTCAAAATAAATATCAATACAACACTTATACGTAGTATAGTGTAGTAAGGTTCGTATCCACAGGGAAAGGAATAATTCTCTTTTTATGAAACTAGTAAATAAAAAGGGGGGTTTTGGGATTGAATGGTTTAATTTAAAAAGTAAGATGAACAACCTATATGTGTTTTAATTCAAAGATAAAAGCACTTGGCATTGCTACTTTCCACTTGTTGATATATTTTAGTCGATCATTGTTATATCTATAACTTATTCCCTCTCGAATACTCAATCGAGGAGTATATCCAATTCATCGAGGGTAGTTATTAACCACGACCGTTCATTAATAACTCTTACTATTAGTCAAGTATAGAACACCGCCATATACCGACTTGATAGTAGCATTTAATCTCTTAACTCCTTGATGAAATCAATTGAGATTAATAACCTCAACACAACGGTTTCGGTTTAACCAACAAAATTAATTCCTCTTAAGTTTATCAACCACGACCGTGCATTAATAAACCGAAGTTACTTACTTGTGAAACCATCAACGATTAACCATCGGTTCGTCGATCGTTTCTAGTAATAATTAATATATGAAACAAAACTAGTTGATCCTTTAAGTAATGTTCAAAATATTAATATGAAATATGAATAGGAATTAATTAATATTCAAGGAAGAATATTATTAAAGGAGATGAATCCTACTATAATTAATATCAAGATGTTAACCAATTGTCATCTTAGCAACACTCCCCAACATTAATATAGAGGAAGAAAATACTACTCTAACTAATGTCAAGATGTTAACTAATTGTCATCTTAGCAACACTCCCCAACATTAATATAGAGATAGTATTAAGGAAAGAACTAATAATTAATATTCAAGGGAAGAAGTTAAGAAAATAACTCACAACATTTAATAATCAACAAGCTTCAAGAGCAACACCAAGAATTGGAAGTTTAGCTCCTCATTTGGAGACTAAACATAGCTAGAAAATTATAAAGAAATGCTATTCTAAACTGAGCTTAAGAGTATGGAAGAAGGGATGAAAATTAGTGAAGGAAAAGTGTGTTATTAATAGGTGTTTTTCAACATCTTTGGCCGGGTACCCGACCGGGTATAGTACTTACCCGACCGGGTACCGGTTAAAATCGGATCGATTCGCCATGTTCTTGTGTTTTCTACACGTTATTTGGTCTGGGTCACATCATGTTTTTCCCTATTTTGTAGATTACAGCAATATATAATGATATAACAAAGATTAGAGTAACAGAAAGATGAACACAGTGAAGATCCTTTAAACTCCTCTTTGATTAACCGTGAACTTTACAACACAAGGATGAGCGCTAAGGCTGATAAGATCAAATGCAAAGTTAACGCAAACCTAAGCCTTACGCATATATTTATAGGCGAAGGCAGGTTTGCGTAAAAGCTTTCAGCCAGGTATATGGGCCTGACACTTTGGCCCCATATCCTTTATACCCTAATAAATACAAACATTAATTACACAAGGTATAATAAAGGCTAAGCTATTACAATATAGATCTGACAAACTTGATTCACAACAGAATAATCTTCAACAATCTCCCCCTTTTTGATCAAGTGCCGTCTTGCGTTTCTTTCTGAGACTTGAAGTAATGTTTCCTGAAGTTCAGTGCATGCTCATATGATCTCAATGACCTTCTTTTGTCAAGTTGCTTGTTGATGGGCTTCAAAATGGTCTCCACTTTGTCGTACTCTTTCACCTCTTCATCAGTAGCTTCAGCAAGTCTTTGGTCGAGATCTTCTGTAATAGATTGCAACTTTTGATTTTCAAGGTCCCATCAAAATACTTGTGGATGTCTTCTACCCACATGAGGCGCTTTCGCTCTTTATGATTGAGATAGAGTATTGAGACTGGATCCTTGAAAATATGATACGGTTCATAGTCTTCTAGCTCGGCATCGTACAAGATTGGCTTTGTGAGATTGGCCTTTCGAACATTGTTCTCGAGGGCCATTTGCAGATCATGAGCAGCGTAGAATCTGATTTGCCTGAGCATAAACCGTTTGATTGCCTCAAATCCTTCCTTGTAGACTCTGTTGCGATTTAGCGGGAGATATCTGCATACCATGAACATCTGGTAGATATCATCCATTTTCATCATTATGAAGTCATTCTCTTGGCAGATAAATACGCTCGAGTCAGTGCGTTGAACTATGAAGCTGTAGAATGGCACTGTGTGGTGGTCTTCTTTATGCACATCGAGAATACCGCTGATTGGATGAATGCTGGACCTCATATCTCGTTCAAGAATCTCTCTTTGTTTTCCTTATGACCTATGTTGTAGCATGTGGAGATGTCCGCCTACATATTTGCCTTTAAGATGAGTGACGGCACGGATTTTCAGTTCATCGAGTTTCTTGAGCTTTCCAGGTATTCTCCAGATTCCGTTTCTGATTTCCTCTTGAAAGGGGGCATTGATTTGTATGTTCTCCCAGAGCTTTTCTTTTGAGGGCATTTGACCCGCTGATTGTCTGATTATCGTTTCAAGCTCCTTGGGAGTTTCCTTATAATCTTCCCCTGCTTTGAGTTGCTCTTTATCAAGGCGTATTATATCTTCAGCACACCTGGCCAGTAGTTCGCGAAGCCACCAGTTCCGTTGCATATCATCTGTTTCGGCTTCGCATCTGAGATCATCCCACTATGTCCATTTGTGTGGCCACTTGTCATGTATCACCGCATCCTCTAGCGTGTCATGGATGTCCTTGGACGGAATAATGTATGGAACTCGTTGCTATTGTTGGAGCGGTGATCTTTCTTGGGAAGCACAACCGGGTTCACTCGGATTGCCCGTTGTCATCAGCTTTGAACAAGGTTCTGGCTGATGGCCTGACCTAATAGATGTATCTGTAGTAGCACCGTCAGGACTTCCATCCCCTCCTCGAACAGTGTCTCTTGAAGACAAGCCTCAGGATGTTGTCATCAGTTTCGAAGTGAGTTCTGACTGATGGCCTGATTTTAATGATGTACCGGAGGTAACATTGTCAAGACTTCCATCCCCTCCTCAGACAGTATCTCTTGGAGATAAGACTCAGGATGTTTCAACTAGCTCGACCGTGCTAGTGAGTTTGGCTTGGTTATGGCTAGAGGTGGGTGGTTGTTGGTTGGTTGATTGTGAAGGTTGGGTTGGCTGCGGGACGTGGCTAGTAGAAGCACCTTGCTCAAGTGTCGTGGTCGCTTGTTCTTCCCCTCATGAGGTTCTGAATCGTCGGGGTCCTCATGCCAACGTTTGAGGCCATGGAGACTTTCACGGTAAGTGCTCGGTTGTGGGCGATTATGTTTGTGGAAGACCGCAATTAGATCCTTTTCATAAGGTGTAAGGTCATGGTCATCAGTGGAAAGGGTTCGGAGGAAAAGGTTATTAGCTAACTGAGTGGTAGGTATTTCATAGGGATTTGGATAGGGTGTGGTCGACGTAGGGGTGGATACTAGCTCTGTATCCTGGGTGCCCCGAGATGGTGAAGATATGGGAAGTTGGTTGGAAGCTGTTGGGGTAGGTAATGGTTGGGTGTAAGAGGATGAAATCAAATCCCATTTTAAAACACCATGTTTTAGATGATAAAACTAGTTTTTACAACTTGTAAAGTTATAATAAGTATTGACAGTCAGTAATAAAGTGCAAAGTCAAATCCGATTTAAATATTCTATTTTTTAAGAGGTCTGTCTTCATTAAAATTTGGTGTTTTGGATGATTAGAGTGGAAGGCTAGCTTCTACAGTTTTACTACGAATCTCCTACTTATATAGAGTGACCTGGACGGCAATTCCGCTGATTTGCCGTTAAGTTGGTCTTCCGTCTCTCCCTGTATGGGACGAATGTCCCCATAGCCCAAGCCAACCGGAACGAATGCCCCCATAGCCCAAGACCCAGAGGACGATAGGTGACAGAGGACGGCCGTTGTTTTTGGGATGAACGTCCCCATAGCCCAAGCCAACCAAGACGAATATCCCCATAGCCCAAGCCAACCAAGAGGAATTTCCCCATAGCCCAAGCCAACCAGGAAGAGCGTCCTCACCGGGGGACTTGTGTTGAGTAAATGAGACGAACGTCCCCATAGCCCAAGGCCCAGAGGACGGTAGGCGGCAGATGACGGCCTTTGTCTATGGGATGAACGTTCCCATTGCCCAAGCCACCCGGGACGAACGTCCCCATAGCCCAAGGCCCAGAGGACGATAGGCGACAAAGGACGGCCGTTGTTTTTGGGACAAATGTCCTCATAGGCGAAGCCAACCGGGAAGAGCATCTTCACTGGTGGACTTGTGTTAGGTAAATGAGACGAACGTCCCCATAGCCCAAGGCCCAGAGGTCGATAGGCCACAGAGGACGGCCATTGTTTACGGGACTAACGTCTCTATAGCCCAAGCCAACCGGGACGAACGTCCCCATAGCCCACGGTCCAGAGGACGATAGGCGACAGAGGACGACCGTTTTTTTTTGGACCCATAGCCCAAGCCAACCGGGAAGAGCATCCTCACCGGGGGACTTGTGTTGGGTAAATGAGACGAACGTCTCCATAAGTATTTTAATGGAGTCTGCATTTCTCTCGCCCATAAGTATTTTATGGAGTCCCCATAAATGAGACGAACGTACCTATAAGTATTTTAGTCGTGCTTAAATTGGGCACCAACCTCTCGCCCATAGGGCGTACCTAGGCTAGTACTTATAATAAAAACGTATTAACACAGTTTAACAAATTCTAATAACTTAGAAAGAGGGAAACACTCATAAAAATTAAACACAGACTAAGATCCCGTTTACTAGCACTAAAATTTATGTTGCATTGAAATGCAAAAATCATGGGAAACGGGAAACGTCATCTTTTACTAGAGAAACAATTATGTAATGAGTTTTCCAAGAATTTCCGCAGAGTTTCTGAAACGGAAACATACACTTTTCTGAGAGTTTGTGTGCTTCATAAGCTGAAATTGTGTTGAAATTGATTAAATTCTAATTAAAGCGGTTGGATTGGCTGAATTATGAAAAGTATACATTTTGAAAATATGTTTTCTTATTAAAATAAAGAAAAAGTTATATGAAAATAGCTAAAATGATCATCTATAGTAACTTCACCCAATTTAGCTAGAAAAATAACTTCAACCTTACTTATTTTGATTTTACACATTTTAGCGGGCGAAATCAAAAGTTAGGTGTTAGGCGAATTAGTAATACTATTTATAATGTTAATTACTAATATAAGAGGATGTATAATGAAGCACAAGTTTGAGGAACGGAAGTACAGTCACAAGGGCGATCTGCGGATGTTTTTTTTGGAATATTTTCATGTCCAACGCAGAGTAGTCTTAAATAAATCAGACCAGACCAAACTAGACCTCAACAATTATAAAATACGCATAAACCAGACATCTACCCGACCACACAAGTTCAGATTGAACTTGACTAGATCAGGATTAGACATATGCGAACATACCGAATCAGACCATACCAGACCATAAAATTCCAGTCCAACTAAAAACATCCTTACTCCTTACTATTATCTGTTCTTTTAATTGTAACATGGATAATTTTACACTACATAGCACTTATATGCTCTACTTTGACTACATTTATTTAGTAATGTATGAGAATATTTTTTTGTAAGATATTATTGAATTCATGTGATTAGAAATTTTCATAACCTGAAATTTAATTTCTCTTTACTAAAATAGAATTAAATGTAATGACGGTCAAGTGATGCGTTGACAAGTGTGAAAATTTGTAATCTTGCTAAGTGCATGTTTGATAAGTATAAGAGCATCTTTAATGGTAGTGTGGATTCTAAAAGAATGCACTGCCACATATATAAAATGGATGTAAAAATATGTTCTCCAACGCAAATGTGTTTAAGATGTGCGTTGGTGAGGTGGAAATTAAAAAAAACATCCTGTGAAGTTGGACGTGGGATTCGAGAAAGCTCCGTATACAATGCAACCGGTGCATGGTGAGCACCGTACTCCCAGGGGTAAAATTCGCGTGAAGAGTACCCTTGTATTTGTCTCAATTTTTTTCATGATGTAAATCCTTTGTTTTGGTATGTAAATCGCGCTACTGTTAAATGTAAATAGAGTGTATTCAAATGTAACTTATTGTGGTGTAACTCACATTATGAAAAATGTAAACAATAAAAAAGAGAGTCTAAATGCATAATTACTTTACTTAAATCGTGAATATGTTTTGTTTTTAATATCATGAACATAAAAAGGAATCAAAGGATTTAAAAAATCATTTTTTTAATAGTAGAGGTTAATTTTTTTGATATAACTTGTGTTATTACAAATGTAACCCGTGTTTCCAGCAATGTAACTCACGATGATAAGAAATGTAATTTATTTCAAGTTAAAATGTAAGTTATCTAAAATGGAATATAAAAATTAAAACATTAATTTCAATGTAAATAATGAAAAATAGGAGTTTTATTCTCTGAATGTATTGTATAATTATGAAATACAATATACTTATTTTATGTGGGCTAATACAAAATTTGTAGTAAAGAAAGAAGTTAATTTAGTAGTAATTTAATTACTTAAAGATAATTGGGTGTAACAAAAATAACAAATAACTAGATGCAACTCACGCATAGTTAGATATAACTCACTCATAAGTAGATGTAACTCAGACATAATAAGATGCAACTCATACATAACTAACATAAGAAGATGTAACTTCAAATGTAACTCCAAGAATCAAAACAAACAAATTCAATGTCTTAAAAGTTCTTAAAAACATATAAGAGATAAAAAAAATTGTAGAAAAAGAGTATGCGTATAAAAATATATTTCAAAAAGTGTATGAATATAAAAAATATATTACAAAAAAGTGTATGAATATTGTAAATATTACAGAAATAAAAGCAGTGTATGAATATAAATGCAATATACTTATTTTATTTAGATTTATAAATTTTTTGTTATGTATCGATAGAGAATAAAAAAATAGATTCAACTATTATGTGGATCAATAAAATATGCTTTTTATGTGGATTAATAAAATAGTAGTATAAAATATATTACAATACACTTATTTTATGTGGATTAATAAAATTTTGTAATAATTTGATAAAGAAAAAATGTAAATTCATTTATATTTTAATTAGTTAAAGATAAAGATAAGTAAAATCACAAATAAATTTTTAGTATTTTGATGTTAAAGAGAAGAGTTAAAGAAAAGAGAAAAGAAAAATAAAGAGAAAGAAAGTACTTACCTGGAGGAAAGAGGAAGAAGACTTCCGGAATATTGGGAAAATGGACTTTTGAAAGCAGGAAAGCAAAAAAACGGCACCGTATTAGCAACCAGCATAGTGGCATACCACTGGGTAATTTTTTTTATAATGCTGACTGGGTAAATTAAATTACGTAATACGGAGTACAAAACTTTGTTTTTTCGAAAACAAATTAAAACTACTCGTGTGCAAGAAATTGGTTCTTATCCCCAACATCTTATCCTCTTGCCGTTTTGCGCCATAGAAAAAGATAACAAACTAGCACAAAATTCAAGCCTGTGTATTTTTTTACATTTTAGTTTGACTTGATAATTTTAATGGGTTCCATCCCTGTTGATTCAAGGAGAAAAATTCCATCCAAACTTTTTCAAACTCACACAATTAATTTTCTGCAATTTAATTAAATGATTTTGTATTGAAATAAAATATGCAATGATTGCTTACGGGGTGGACAAGGACGCACCAAGATGGAATCACATAACTACACCCAAGGTAAAAGAATAGTCTCATTGGAGTCAAAATGTTTATTTGATTATCTATTAATCCACGTCATCCCCACATCCCTTCACACCATATGATGTGTCCATTTTTTTAGTTATACAATCCACATGACCTGGAGATGTTCTAAATCTCTAGTTTTAACTTTTGTACTATTTAAATTCTTTAAAAACTTGTAGTTATATGCTTGATAGTACTCGGTATAATCTATCATTATATAAACGCAAAAGGTTTTTGACACTATTTTTTCAACAGTATTCCCACTTGAAAATGTCAACATCAACAAATAGTGCAAGCTAACATTGAAAAAATATTGCTTGGTAAAGAAGAAAATAAATTAGTCTAAAAAGTATGGAAACTTTCTTGGTACTCTTGATGAAAAAGTGCAACCACGTTAAAGTATATAAAGCTACAACGATGTTACGGTATATATATATATATAAAGCTGCAACGAAGTATATAAAGCTGTGAGAGTCTTTATCCGTACATGTGCGTAGTAGAAATACTATTAAAAATTCAACAGTACACATACTTTTTAGCACCAATCAAGTCTCGCCAGGTTGTTTCAAGGAGCATGCGCACACAATATCTCTAAAAGATACTCTATATTAAAATTTGTAACAAAAAAATACAGCCCATCCATTCTGGCTAGCCTGTTCATTGGGGCATGTGTATTTTCAGCCAATCAAAACTCGCCAGCCTGTTCTTGGTGTATGAATTTTCTTTATAGAAAGATCACTCACTTCCTTATAAATACTACTCCGTATTCTTTTCTAGAGTAACCCACTCAATTATCCAGCCTCATCTCTTTCTCTCTTCAGTCTTAACCTGCAGTATGAAAGAGTAACAACATGCACATATATATTCATATTCCATACAAGTAAGTTCATATCTTAGTGAGAAATGAAAATTACAATACTTGAACTAACAAAAGGAGAAAGAAAATGGGTTTACAAGTCGATGGAGCATAAGTAGAAGATGTAGAAGCCAAGAACTACAAGGGAGTAGCCACAAATTGCAGCAATGGTGCAGCTAATGCAAAAAGGATGATAATAAGCTCATTTATGCATAACTCAATGCTCTCAACCAAAATATAAAAAACAGAAGATACAAAAAATAACAATTCCTAAAAGAAATATCAATTTTAGTTACCTAAGTTTCTTCTAGAATGAAATATTAAATTGTCAATCTTTGGTGGTGAAATTTGACTTGGAATCAAATATTTTTCATGAAATATAAGTGTCAAACTTTTGGGAATTTTCAAAACCCATTTCCTGTATTATGTTATGAAAATCCATGTATAACGATGACTGAAACTTCTTTTTTGGTAAATATTGTTTCTCAATGCATGTATTGGAAATGTTTGTATATTCAAAAAGTTTGTGTATTACTTCATTCCTATGTGACAAATTCCAGATAAAGAGAACAGTAGGTCCGAAAAGTTGGTGTATTACTTCATCCCTATGTGGCACATTCTTGTGTAAAGGTTGAGAGTTCATGACTATGGCTAAGCTCAATAAATCCGCAACAGTAGATCCAAAGAGAAGACCCTTGTCAGACTATACTTTGGGTAAATCTGATTTTACTACTTGGTTGTAAATGAAGTATTATTAACGCATATATCATTGCTCTATTTTAAAAATGATTATGAAGAACAAAAATTATAGAATATGCTTATGATGGGACGACAAACCTAATAGTTGATATTTATACCAATCTACACACTAGAATACAAGTCTAAGGTGTTGGGGGGAAATTGGATTGGAGCTAAAGATCCATATTTGAAGAGACATTAGTGTTATTAGGTGTATTTGTATATTTGAGATAGCTAGGTGTATAATCTCAATGTACTTTAATATAATGTATATATTAGATAGAAAATACCTTGAGTTGACAATGCAAAAAACAGGGTCGGCTAGATCATAGTACCAATATCATTTAATTGGGAAACAAATTGTGTCATTTCTATTAAATCAAAAGTTTATTGAGTGGTATATCAATTTTGTTTGATCAATTCTGTCAGTATATTTATTGGCTCTAGCAATTGATTGATAGTGGAAAATTTCCTTGATTCAAGTAACTGAAGTTTAAAAAAAAGAGCCATTTCATAAATAGTGACAGAGTTGTGTATATTAATAATCACATTTCATTTACTATTACATAGAAACAACTGCAAGTATAAAAAAATTAGGCTAAATAGAGTATTACACAACCCCACATAAAAACAAATTGTTTCCTATCTACCTTAAAACAAAAGCTATAATAGATCATAAATCAATGTTGTGTAGTCCAATCCATTCATATATTGATTGGCCTTTTAGGGTTTGGCCAATTTAATTTTTTTGTTTGTGTTTATATTTTAAATATCAATGGATCAATAGCAGGCCAATATGAAAAAGGAAGAGAGGTATGTGTTTGTCATATAAGAATGTAATGTCAAAATTTACAATTGCTTCCAGTGATATGAAGTCATCATTGGTATTATTGTTGTTTATTAGTATATAATACTACCTGCATTCTGAATGACTTTGCCATCTTTAAAATTTTGATCTATTATATATTTTCATTAAAAATTATTGATAATATTAAAATGATATAGAATTTTTTTTTTTGCTAAAAGTACTTCTCTAAAAGTATAAAATTTATAACTTCCATAATCTTAATGAAAGTAAAATCATGGTTTAAAGTTTACAAGATGACATTTTTTTAGACGGAGGTAATAATATATAGTCGGGTAAAAGATCAATATAGTAAGCCAGATTAAGAAAATCCTTGAATGCTTTCATTTGTTGTTGATGTTAATATGGTAACATTTACCCAATAGGCAGCATTTCCGCTGCTCTCTCTCTCTCTCTCTCTCGAGGCTTTAGAGAATAGAGGCACAGAGATAGAGAGATTAGGTTTTCCGCTGCTCTCTCTCGAGGGAGAGCAGCGACACTCAAAACGGTATACCAGATTCGTTTGTTCATCTCATATCTTTCTATCTGATTCTTGTTCATTGCTTATGATTGTGTGATTGTTAGTATACTGGGTTCATCAAGAGGGAAGATTGGTTACTACGATTGAAGGAAAGAGCTTACGAAGAAAGTAATGTTTGCCCAGGCGTGAAACAAGTTGAATCTATCTGCGTTTTTCGTATCTTACGAAGAAATGCTCTGCTTTTCTTCTATTTTTCATTGATATAGAGATTTGCTCCTGTAATCTTGTTTGTGAACGAAATTTTGGAGAAATTATATTGTTGGAATCGCCTCTTCAAAATGATTCTACTGCATATCTCTGTTTTCGATTTCTGCATTTTTTCAATTTCGAAGATCTCTACTTTTGAGATCTCGAGATTCTTGTTTTTCACTGTTGCAAAAACGATTTTGACTTGAAACTGATACAGGAGAATCTCGACCTTCAGGGCTATTTAGAACAGGTTTCAGATTTTAAAAAATCGAAATTTTCATTTTGCAGGAACTCGACATTTAGGGTCTCGAATTCTTAAACTCGACATTTTGAAATTTCGAGTTTTGAAATTTTGAGTTTTGAAATTTCGAGTTTGGAAATCTCGAGTTTTGAAATTTCAAGTTTTGAAATTTCGAGTTTTGAGATTTCGAGTTTTGAAATTTTGAGTTCTGAAATTTCGAGTTTTGAAATTTTGAGTTTTGGAATTTCGAGTGTGAAAAAATTCCAGTTTTGGTCCCATGACTACTATACCACTTCCACATTTAGTCCATTACTTTCAGATTGTCCACATTTAGTCCGTGATCATTATCCCCTCACCACCCCTCGTCCTTCTGGCCAAAATTCCGGCAAACTTAGTCCACTTATCAGCCTCAGAATCAGTCTTTGCATTAAATTTTATATAAGGTTGAGTTTTTCATATCAGTCTTTGCATTAAATTTGTTTTTCATACCTAAAATCTGCATTAAATTTGCCGGATTTTTGGCCGGAAGGACGAGGGGAGGTGAGGGGATAATGGTCACGGACTAAATGTGGACAATCTGAAAGTAAGGGGCTAAATGTGGAAGTTGTATAATAGTCACGGGACCAAAAGTGGAATTTTTTCTTTCGAGTGTTGGAATTTCGACTTTTGGGATCTCGATGTTTAGGATCTCGACATTCTGAAGATTTCGAGATTTTTAAATTTTTCATGTTTTGAATGTTTCAAAGTTTGCAGTTTCTTGAAACTCAGAATTTTTCAAAGCTCGACATTCTTCGCAGTTCATCGAAGCTTTACGTTATAGGATATTTGAATGAATCTCTAATTATCAAAGTTTTTAGAAGTTTTTGATGTTCTGATGTTTTTCAAACAACAAGTTTTTGATTTTTTGAGGTTTTCGTAACTCCAAAGTTTTCGATGTTCCAAACATTTTGAAATTCTGAAGATTTCGATATTCTGAGGTTTGCTTTGCAGTGGATTTCGCCATTATTCTTTGAGGCAAACTCGAGATTCAAATCTGGAAGTTTAAACCTCGAGATTGTAATCTCGAAGTTTAAACCTCGAGATTGTAATCTCGAGATTTAAACCTCGAGATTGTAATCTCGAAGTTTAAACCTCGAGATTGTCATCTCGAGATTTAAACCTCGAGATTGTGATCTCGAGATTTAAAGCTCGAGATTACGATTTTGAGGTATTGCCTTAGAATTTTCCTTAATCCCACCTGTTTTCGATATTCAACATCGAGAACCTCAACTTCGAAGATATTCCTCAAAAACTCAAAATTTCGAGATTTTCTGCGACATCGCACTGTTTTTGCCATAACTTTTGACTCGGTGATCCGATTTAAGCAAACCTTTTTTTGTTGGAAAGCTAACGAAATGATATACATTTATTATCCGTCTATGCCCCAGAAACCATTATCACGCACCCTCACGTGCAGTCCTTGAGGATCAAACCGTTAGTTTTCCGACAAACTTTGTAAATCACCGATATCAAGGTCAAAACTTAGGCAAATCTGTTCAAATTCTTCCAAAGTCAAATCTAAGGTCAAAGTTTTTCTAAACCCCACCGTAGAGGTCCGAAAAACGTAGATAATTCAATCAACTTCGCGTCAACAGTCATTCTACAACAATCAACAATCAACTGCTGAAGCCTCCCCTAACTCATCAACATTGTGTGACCATCAATATGCTGAAATTCTAAATGATGAGCATAAGGAAACCGTCATGTGTGGTACTTGTTCAGATTGCTCCACACACATGGTGGGTATGACAAGCTGTGAGCAATCAAACCTTTCACATTCTGATGGGAAGTTTCAGTTTTCTCCTTGTGGCGCCTTACACCGACAAAGCAAGGAATCTCTCTTACGGATGCAATATTTTAGGGGGAGTGTTCAATGTTATCCTCCCCGGTGCCTAACAATGTCAAAGCATACCGAGTGCTCCAGTTGAGGGGGAGTACAAAGAGAAAATCAATGAGAGAACATGTTCCTATGGCTTAGTAAACCCAACTAAGCCTACCCCAGGGACAAAGCCGAGAGTAGGTGAGTGAGTGAGTGAGTGATCATTATGAGCGTTAGGAAGCAGAAGGCTCAAGTGAGCAAGAAAACAATAATCAATGATAAGTCTGCTACCTCAACTGCCTGCTATCCATTGAACATTTACTCTTAACCATCTCCCCCTTGGTGCTCAATCTTGTTCAATCAGCATTGCAGTGCGGATATCTTTGTCTTTGTGTTTATATAGCAATGTAGAGGAGAGCGTAGATGAAATCTGTTGAGTTGCTCCTCTTTTGTCTTGATCTTCAATGCATCTCAGCTTCCTTTCTCTTCAAACTTTGCTTCTTGAGAAGGCTTTTTGAAGAAATCCTTGCAATCTCCCCTTTGATGTCTTCTTGGCAATTTGATCTTTGATGTCGGGGGTTGAGAGCTCTTGAAAATCTTGCTTGTAATACTTGCCTTCCAAAAGTTACTCTTGATCAGCTTGAATGAAAATCCGAAGGCGCCTCTAGAATGAATGTTCTTGAAGAATTGCAGACGCGCATGGGATTCTGATTACCCGACCTCTGTCTCCTCCACAATGTAGTCTTTTTGACTATTTGAGGTGAATGCTTTTGAGGAGAACTAGTCGGTTGCACAGCATAAAATGATGATTCACTTGTGGGCGTAGCTGACCATTTGATGTGAAGTTGACTTTGTAGTTGATGTTTTGAGAGAATAGAGAGTCGTCGTTTTTTGTGTTGGAGGAGAAGTGTCCAAGAATGATTTTTTAGAGTAAACAGCATGCAGACCACTCTCCCCCTCATGACGATCCGATGAATCGGGGCGTCATGCCTTTATTCTTTTATTCTTGGTAACAAAATAGAAAAAAAAGAAAGGTTAAATGATAAAAACCGGATACACTGAGATGTTCCGTTAACACAACATCAATGTAAACACTGATTTGTGGCCTGTAAAAAAATGATAGAAACACTAAAGCTCTAACAGGACTTCTAACCCGTTATTGTGAGGCATCCAAAGTATATGTCATTCTGGTTGTTATGGCATGATCATAAAGATTAGCAAAGATAATGTAGCCCCCCGGGGTCATGTAGACACCCGTTATCATCACTATAGAGATACACTCTAAAGCGATGGCCTGAACATGTTGGTGATTTCTATGCTGCAATAGCAGGACTTCCTTCCAATCATTGGTGTTCATCTATAGTAGATGAGCCCTATGGAAGTTCTCGCGGGTCATGAAGACCTGCAACTGACTCTAAAAGGTGTCTGCGTCCTAGAAAATTCAAAACATTTGGGAGTGAGAGAACTAGACACGACGTGATCAATGAATGTTCAGTGGCATGGGGCTGTGGGCCACTGTAATCAGTATCAGTCGCCTCAAAAGGAGACGGTGATAAGAGATCAGGTTCCCCGTGAAATATGATTAAACACTTGTCTGTTGGGAGACAAACGAGTGGTCTAGGGTATGGTTGTGCATGCGCCGTTTGGACAAAATGCAGCGAGTTCTACCCGGGATCTGAATAAATTCAGTCCTGAACCTATGGGGATTGTCCAGAGTATTTGAGTGACTGAAAGTAATTTTCTCAATTGATAGCACAATAGAGGTAACTGATTTGACAGTGATTATTGTTCTCTTGCTCACTTGAGCTTTCTGCTTCCTCACTCTCATAGTGTTCACTCAGCTACTCACTCACTCTCGGCTTTGTCCCTTGGGTAGGCTTAGTTGGGTTTACTAAGCCATTGGGGCTGATCTCTCATTTCTCTTTGCTCTTTTCTCTCCGTTCTCCCCCTCAACTGGAGCATTCAGTAGGATGCATTTCACGATGATTGGAACTTGGGAGGAGAACTTTGAACCCCCCCCCCCTTAAAATCCGCATCCTTGAGAGAATCCTTGCATTTTACATTGTCTAGCACCAGGAGGAGGAGAATGAAACTCCCCCTCAAAAGTTGCAAGTTGTGTTGTTTGTTACCCGGGGAGTAAAGTAGAAAACTCCCCCTTGGAATGTGCTTTCTTCGTTGTTTGGCTCCAGGAGGAGTGAAAAAGAAACACTCCCCCTAGAATAAGCATGTGTTGTTTGTTCTTGGCGTGTGCCGGTGTTGAAGTGTGCATTTCTTGATTTTCTGCTCAGTGGGGTAGTATCCACGCCAATACTCTCCTCGATAATGTGCACCTTTTGATTGCTCACAGCTCATCTTCATACCCGCCATGTGTATGGAGCAGTTGGATCAGTTACCACACAGGACGGACCTTCAACACATATTAAGTATGTTTCGGTACCCATTTCCAGATGGGTCCTTCCTTGGCAGCAACGAACAACTCTTTCACTTTCTGTTTAATCTGTGATCCTAAGCTAGCTGACTGAGAGGAGTTTGACATTCTTAATTTTTCAGCTTCAGTCTTAGGAACCCATATTTGTTTGAGCTTTTGAGCAAGAGAGGTTTCATTATCACTGAGTGAATGATCAGACAAGTAGTCTTTGAGAATTGGTTCTTTAGAGAATCTTCTCAAATGTTTGAGTGAGTGAACCTTGAAGGGATATTTCAAACATGGTAGTGTATACTCTCCCTCAACGTTCACCTTTGCGGAAGCGGATTTCTTTTGGACTCTATGATCATTCACATTCTGATCTTGAGTGAAGGAGGCATCAGACTCAGAGCAGCATTGCATGAAAGACTTTATACAGTTCTGAGTAGAAGAGCTTGAGAAGTGATTCTTAGGAGATGTCTTCCTTTTGGCATAGAAGAGAGAACTTGAACCCCAGTTCCTATTCCTTTGACGGGATTGTTCTTCCTTCTTTATTATTCTCAGTTTCTCCTCAAACCATTCTCCCTTTCTCTCCACTCTCCTCTCGGCTCTCCTCTTTACTGGGTTTAGTGTAAGAGAAGGAGATTCAGAGTGCGTGGTAGGAGATTCTGGACCATCGGTTGAATTTTTAGCATAGTTTTCAGAAGATGGAGGAGAAAGAGATTGTGAGCCTGTGCTTGATTGAGAGGATGTTCGGAGTAAAGATAT